CGGTCTGCCAGTAGACAGAGGGGCAGTGAGAGTGCTCAGTAACCTGCTGTTCTGTGGAGAACCACGGCCTGATTCCTTCTGGCAAGACCCCAAGCTGTGGGGAGGAGGTGCCCGTCCTGATGCCAGAGCTTCTCTGGGTTAATTGCCCCTTTGTAGGCAGGGCATGAGATTGCTTAATACTCATCAAAATGGCTTGGCTAAAGCACTGTGAACATACAGCTCAGCTCAGGACGGCTCAGTCATCTGCATCAGGTGCTTCATTGCAATAGAGGCCGTATCTGCACTGAGGGGACAGTCAAATCACTGAGATGCCTACAAATAACCCAAGACCTTCTGCAGACAGGAAGGTTCATTTCTTTCGAAAAGGGAAGTGTCTGACAACCACGCTGCTTCAGAGCCACAGTAAGAATGTAACCACCCACACTCCTCTTGCCTTTGGGTGGCTCTTGTAATGCTTGCCCTGAAACAAGCTGCGGAGCCTGGGGTTTGGCTCCCGTGCAGCTTTTCCTGAGACAGCACGCTGCTGAATGTCCTCACTGTGGGACGGTAACAAAAGAGCTGTCACCAGCGTGGAGAATGTTAGTAACTAAATGAACCTTGGTGTGCTAGCTTGGTACAAAAGGGCTTAATTCAGCACCGGTGGCTGAGCTGGTTACAAATGGTTGCTGGTTCCAAATGCTGGGGCTGAAATGGAGGAGGTGGCAGCAGAGATGTGGTGCCAGGGAATGTGGGAGGGAGATCAAAGAGATCCCCATGGCATGGGAGGGATGGCAGAATGAGGCTGTAGCAGGACGAGATGTGTTACTGTAGGAGAAGTAGCAGGGAGCCATGGGCTCTGCCAGAATGGCGAGTATCATTTGGTCCCATAGCTTTGCAGCAGCCTTGGAACCATCCAAAGGGGGCTAGCAAGGATGCAGTGTGGGTACCCTCTCCATGAAGGCACAGATGTGCTGGGGGGATGCAGGGGTGCCTGCTGCACACGGGGATGCCATCTCTGCCGTGTAGTCCTGATGGATCCCAGCAGATGACCACAAGGAACCCAGGTTCCTTGTCAAGTCAGGAGCCCCTTTGTCAGCCACTGCTCACTTTGTTTCCTTTCTGGCCCCAGCCTTCATCACTTGTTACTTGTTGCATGTGATGCGCAACCCACAAAAGGAAAAAGCCCAGCGATGAACCCTAGCGTCAGGGGTGGAGGCAAGGCTGGGAGCGGAACTGAGCACTGGTGCAGCCCAGCCTGCTGCTCGCACTGCCCTGCAGAGGCAGGATGGAGGATTTGGGTAAGCTGGGTCGCTCTGGTGCTGGGGAAGGCTGAGCTGGCCCCGTGGCCAGGCTCGCTGCAGGGTCCTGTCCTGGTGGGCTGGAGAGCTTCATCTTTCTTGCATTGCTTGAGCAGGTGGGGGTGGCACAAAGGGGACGGCAGCAGGGCTGCTCCTCCATCTCGGGGGACAGACGGGCGGTTGAACTTTGCCAAAAATGGAGACTGCTCAAAGGCAGGAAGCGGGCTTCAGTGACGGTGCAATCTTGTCTGTGCACAGTGGGGCCCAACAGCCTGCTGAGAAAGGCGGCACCATGAACAGGGGTGCCTTGGCCCCAGGCAGGGAGACGGGGCCCAGGGGGCAGCTGCCAGAGGTGCCTGTCACCATGTCCTGTCGTGACAGTGGCAAGCTGAAAGTAGAAAGGGCTTTATCCATATGGATATCCCACCACTCTAGGGCACAGGAAGCACCAAGGGTGAACTTTCCTGTGCCAGGGTTGTGCTTGAAGAAACTTCAGGGTGATAGATGTCCCTTTGTAAGCTGGAAGCAGCTTACACCTGGGGCACAGAGAGGGGCAACAGATTCCTATTTGCATCTCTCCGTGCAGATGCGTTGCTGGCAGAGCTGGAGCAGAGCTCCAAGCCGGCCCCAGCGAGCTACATGTTGCTGACACCCAGCAGCAGGCAGCAGGACTCACCTCCAGGCAAGCCCCCAGCTCCCAGCAACCAGAAGCCACTTACATCAGCAGCCCCAAAGGTAATGCCTGGAGCCTGGGAAGGCCCTGCTCAGCCCACGAAAGGGGTGGGAGTGCTGGGTGAGTGCTGAAAGGTGCTGGGGGCTCAGCCACAGGGATTTGTCCTTTCAGGTGCCACTGCCACCTCGGTCTCAGCCTTCAGGCAAAAGTTTGGAATCTGTGTACAGGTAAAATACAGCCATGAGATGGCAGAGCCATTGGGGTTACCTGTTCCTTAGTTTGGACACACTCACCTGGCTTCCTCAATGTTTCCACAAAAACCAAGTCCTTCTGTGAGCTGGGGTGAGGGGGTCACATCCTGCTGTGCCTGCTGCCAGGGTAAGGGGTGGGCTTCCAGTATGTCCCCTACCATGGCTCATGGGGACGGAGCAGCTTTTTTGGGGTGAAGGGAAGATGCTCTGTCCCACACGCTCCTCAGTCTTAGGGGTGAAACTGCAGTACCTATTGCTCTCTGCTGTGCCCAGCAGCCCCATGCCGACCCCACAAGCACTGCCTGCTTCGCCAGAACCCACAGCGGCCGCCCGGCAGCTGGATGAGCTCCTGGCTGACCTGGGCCAGATGCAAAGCAAGGTGAGCTGCATCCTGGGGCAGGCAGAACGGGGTAGACCGGAGCCCATCCCTCACCTACCCCATCCCAGCAGCTGGCAGCAGTGGGGCAAGGAGCCGGAGCGCCGGCAGCCCCTGAACACTCGCTGGACCACATGCTGGGTGGCCTGACGCGGGACCTGCAGGAGCTGGGCATCACCGCTGCTCCTGCCGCTGCCTGTGCCGCCTGCCACAAGCCCATCGCCGGCAAGGTGAGCCATGGGGTGGAGCGTGGGGCTCACAGCAGCCCCCAGGTCCCTCACTCATCTCTGTCGTGCAGATGTTCACAGCCCTAGGCGAAACCTGGCACCCCGAGCACTTCACCTGTGCCTGTTGTGGGCAGGAGCTGGGCGGGCGGCCCTTCTTTGAGCGTGGGGGGCAGGCGTACTGCGAGGAAGACTACCACCAGGCCTTCTCCCCACGCTGCGCCTACTGCGCTGGACCCATCCGCGAGGTAAGCACGGCCCTGCCCTCCTCTGCGCCCCGCTACCCAGCGCCTCACCTCTCCTGTGCCCACAGAAAGTCCTCACCGCCATGGACCAGACCTGGCACCCCGAGCACTTCTTCTGCGCCCACTGCGGGAAGGTGTTTGGAGATGACGGTTTGTATCCGGGGGACATCCCCCCGCTCCCCACCCCATCACCCTGCCGGGCACCTGCATCTCTCCATCTCAGTCCTTCTTTAGTCCATCCCACTGCCTTCTTCGCAGGGTTCCATGAGCGTGGTGGGAAACCCTACTGCTTCCAGGACTTCGTGGTCCTCTTTGCGCCCAAGTGCCAGGGCTGTGAGCGGCCTCTGACGGATAACTACCTGTCGGCCCTGCAGGGCGTCTGGCATCCTGAGTGCTTCGTCTGCGCGGTGAGTGGGCAGCAGGACAGAGGGATGCAGGGCAGGTGCATCCTCAAAGCCATGCCAGCCTTCTCCCTTTAACTACTTGGCTGAGAGATGGCTGAACACAAGCCAGCAGTGTGCCCAGGTGGCCAAGAAGGCCAGCAGCATCCTGGCTTGTATCAGTGACAGCGCAGCCAGCAGGGAGCAGGGAGCTGATCCTCGCCCTGTACTCGGCTCTGGTGGGGCTGCACCTCCAGTGCTACGGTCAGTTTGGGGCCCCTTACCAGAAGAAGGACATTGAGGACACAGCGTGTCCAGAGAAGGACAGTGAAGCTGTGAGGGGTCTGGAGCACAGCTCTGATGGGGCATGGCTGAGGGAGCTGTGGTGGTTCAGTCTGGAGGAGGCTCAGGGGAGACTTTATTGCTCTCTACATCGACCTGAAGAGAGGTAGTGAGGAGAGAGGGGTTGGCCTCTTTTCTCAGGTAACATTGAAAAGATGAGGGGGAATAGCCTCAAGTTGCACCAGGGAAGGTTCAAGCTGGCTATTAGGAAAAATTTGTTCTCAAGAAAGTGGTGATGCAGTGGCACAGGCAGCCCATAGAGGTGATGGAGCCACCATCGCTGGAAATGTTCAGGAAGCATGTAGATATGGCACTGAGGGACATGCCTGAGTATGCATAGTGGCAATGAGGCGGCAGCAGGACTAGGTGATTTTAGAGGTCTTTAGCAACCTTAAGGGCTCTCTCCCCCACAGGACTGCTTGAGCGGCTTCAGCAATGGCTCCTTCTTCGAACTGGAGGGCCGGCCCTACTGCGAGCTGCACTTCCACCAGCGGCAGGGCAGCGTGTGCCAGGGCTGCGGGCACCCCATCACGGGCCGCTGCATCACAGCCGCCGGGCGCAAGTACCACCCCGAGCACTTCATCTGCGCCTACTGCCTGAGCCAGCTGCACAAAGGCACCTTCCGTGAGCACGGGGACAAGATGTACTGCCAGGCCTGCCACGACAAGCTCTTCCTTTGAGCTCCGAGTTCTGTGCTTCTAGGAGCTGCTGCTTTGCTTGGCTTCCCTGTCATCAAGAGCATTGCCCCTGCGGAGCCAAAGATCCCTAGGATTGTACCCCTCTCAGCATCCCCAGCGCTGCCCCAGCTGAAGCAAACACTGCCTCTTGTCCCACCCCTCCACAACCACAGCATTGTTCCTTTCATACGCGACAGTCCTGGCCTTACACCCACAAAACCCCAGCTTTCACTTGAGCAGGCTTCCCTCAGCCACTTCTCTTACACTGTCGCTGCCAGTTTAAACAAAAAAAATTAAGAAGAAATTTCTATTTCTCAAGTTGTGCAAATAAATGTAAGCCAACTACGTGCTAGACTGCGTAGAGCTGAAATCCAGGAAGAGGCACAGCAGGAGAAAGCTGTACTCCGGGGCTACACAGTGCTTCAGCTCCTCCCATTACTCTTTCAGCAGACACCAACCGCAGCGGCTGGATGTCCAGCTGGGTAGGACAGCCCGAGCTGTAAAGCTAAGAAAGAAAGGTGGCAGCCTCACATCCAACACACACCAACAGAAGGACACACTTTAAAAACTTTATTTATATAAAAAAATCATTTTGTTTGAAAAGCGTTACAAGAGTGTGCACAGGAATCAGACAAGGAACAGTGGGGTGCTCCTGCCCCCTCCACCCTCACCCTGCAGCCAGCTCCCCTGCCCTGCGCAGGAGAGGAGGGAAGGGGGAAGCTTGGTTTTGTGGGTTTTTTTTTTTTTCTTTTTGGTTCATCTGGAATTAAAAAATTAAAAGGAATTAGTGTTTTACATATTTAAGGGAAAAAGAGAAGTTAGACCCCCAGAACAAAACCAAACGGAGCTGAGGTGTGGCTGGAGCTGGAAGAGCGAGGCACAAGTGTGCGTACTGGGGAGGGCTCCATCTCCAGTTTGCAGCCTTGCAAAGAGGCTTCCAGTTGCACAGTGAGCCTAAGCCTCCCCCTATTCACCCAGAATATCACAGCACCAAACACACCCCCACCACCACAGAGATGCTCCCAGGACAGCCTGGGCTCCCCAGGACAGGAGAGAGGGGAGAGCCCTGCTCCCTATTCAGCAGTGGCAGCCAAAGGCAGCAGGGCTGGGATCCTCCCCGCTGGGCTTCCAGCTCAGCCCCACCAGCAGCCTGGAACACCGCTTCCCCTAGCGAAGCCAAACAGTACAATTCAAAGAGCTATTTCACAGTGGCAAAAGAAAGGCACATGTCAAGAGAAGTCTGAGGGAGCACTGCCACAGGCAGCTGATGGATGGGGGTGGCTGGGATCCAGGCCCTACCTGCTGCGCACGCCCTCGCAGACCCACCGCTACTTCAGCCAGTTCCCAAAGAAATGCGGCCCCGAAAGCCCTGCTGCTACTCCTCCTACCCTACTCCTTCCCCAGGGAAAGATCACCCCCAGGGCAGAGGCCTGCCCCACACGCACCACACAGACCTTTTCCCTACATAAGGATCCCTCCTCTTTTCAATTGCCCCATCCAGACCCCTGTTCCCCGCAGCAGGATCCAGAGCCAGGCCAAACAGTCAAAGCTAGGATAGATCCCTCTTCCCACACCCCCAAAGCCTCATCTAGAGCAAAGCAAGAAGAGTTATTGCTGCTTCTCCTTTCCACCAACACCCCCGTGATTCTAGCCTCCTTCGCATCCCAGTCCTGCTGCTGCCAGGGAGGGATGCTCTTGTCCCTGCAGCCTCAGCACAAGAGTGATCCCACACACAGAAAAATATCCTATAGGCAACAAAGGAAGGTGGCAAGTAAGGTCTTGGTCGCTGTCCCCACAGTAGACTCCAAGCAGAAGGAAGGTGAGGCAGAAAGGCAGTTCCTGGTCAAGGCAGAGGTCTGGAATTGTTTTGCAGCATCCTTGCCGGTTGGCGCAGGCAGTCAGGCAGGAGGGCCTCCTCTCTGAAGGAAGGGAAGTGGTGGAGGACAGGGAGGAAGAGTTATTGATAGTTGTCCCAGAACAGGGAGATGCAGCCACCGAGAGGAGGCAGAGCAGCCTGGGCTGCCTCCTGTGGGACCAGGCCCAGTCATTTGGCTGGCTAGTTGGCACAAACAGTCCAGCAAAAAAAAAAAAAAAAAGTTGAAAAAAATTCGGTCCATTCCACCACGAAGAGTTATATATATTTATATATATAAAATATATTATCAACCAAACTGAGCGGAGGCAGGGGTAGCAGCTAGATCTTCTGCTGTGGAGAGAGAGGGGAGAAACGTTAGCACAGCCGGAGCAGGAACAATCAGTGAAGGTGTGTTTACAGCCCCTGTGGATCAGCATCAGACAGCGATTGTAGACTGCAGCGATCAGAGCGCGATTTGGCTGCCCAAAGCACCCCTAACAGCACAGCAGGATTTGCCACCGTTGTTCAGATTGGACAGGGTGCTGCAGGACATACCGACACAGAGGAAAACTCAGCAGGATCTTCCTCTGCCTCATGCTGGGATTCCTGCCCCTCCTCCTGCTGCAGACATACAGGGTTAGTAGGGGCGAAGGAGCAGGCGGGGGTTAGTCACAGGAGCCCGGTTCTCCCAGTGCCATTCCCTGCACCTCTGCCCACACCAGCTTCATTAAGAAAGGCTCCTCACCATCAACGGTGCTGCCTTCACTGGCTCCGTGTCTCCAAGATCACCAGATCGGTCCAGTGTCCTGCTGTGGTCCATCTCGTTAAGTGTGGAATAGTTGTCTGCAGGAAGACACGAGACCACCAGTTGCACCACCTTTTTGTGAGGCAGCATCCTCTCCATAGGAGGCAAGGCGTTCCCAGCACGTCAGAGAAGATGCCCTTCCTCCAGTCCCTTTCCTACCTGGTCCCATGTTGCTCATCTGGATCTCCTCCCGGGAGGATTTCTTGTCTAGAAGGATGAGAAAACAGATCAGGCATAGCCTCTGCAGCCACAGGCAGCAGTGTAATCACTGCTGGATAAGGCCAGATGGAACTCCAGCTTCAGCACTGTTGGCCCAAGGATACTATAGTACTGTAAACTCTACATAAGCTCTGAGAAAAAGCTGATGGTTTTGCACGAACCCCTGGAGAACCCAAGGAAGCTGGGGGAGAAAAGTACAGAGGGAACACAGGTACCCACAAGGCAGTCGACATGGAGACAAGTCCCAGCAGGAGGGAGGGCACATACCTGTTTTTTGGTTCCTGTCAATGAGAGGCAAGGTGCTGTCATCAAATGAGTTTCCTCCTTGTGTCCGAGAGGCATTGCTAAGGTTCACCTGGAGCACCAGAAAACAACCACTCATACTCCATACACCAAGCACATAGCAACCCTCCGGCCCTGGCAGCCCCAGCAGTGCTTCCCTCCCACAGTCCTTGAGCAAAGGACCTGAAGGTGCTCCTAAGCCCCTGGGGGTGTACCCACAAACAAGGATGGAGGCAGACTACCTAGGCTGGGTCAGGGCAGCACCCAGCCTTGAAGAGGCAGCTGCAGCTTTTAGGAGGGAAAGCAAATACCAGAAGACCATTTCCCCTCCCCTGCCCCCCTCCCACAAACACACACACACACACACACACAACGGCTTTAGTGCTGCAGACTCTCCCTGCTGGTAGATTTGATGTTCAAGGCTTAATACTTTGCAGAGTGTTTCTGCTCCACTGCCATCCACCCACTAAGAAGTAGCAGAGGGGACACCTTCAAGGGTCTCTAGTGACAGGAGCAAGAGAAGAGCTGAAATCAAACACTGCTGAGTTCCTGGAGCACCTCCTCCCTGCAGCAGGACCCAAGCTAGAACAGGGTACTGTTCCACCACTCCCTGTACCTGGAAATCTGACTTCTTCCAGCCTTCCTTCTCCAGGGGCTTCCGCAGCTCTTTATACCCCCAGATCGTCTGCAAGACGAGGGCAGCTGCTCGGACTTCTCTCTCTGAGCGGTTCCTAGAAAGCAGTGAAGGAAAAGATGTTTGGCAATATCCACAGCCTCAAAGCCACCTTGGGAAAAGCTGCTCTCCACCCCTGCACTGCCCTTCAAGCAGAGCCTACCCAGTTTTGTTGATGAGCACCAACTTCTCAATCCCCTGCGTTTCCCGCAACTTCTTGGCAGCCTCCAGGTTGTCTACAATGACTTCGTTGATGGTATTGAGGATGGACACCACTGTATCCTCAGAGAGGTTTTTGGCTGGAGTCTGCTGGCCTCCAGGCAGGTTCTTCACTAGGTTGGGGATGGCATGTTTACCTAATAAGGGCAAACAGTTGGGCGTGAGCGAGCAAGGAGGACAGTGACTAGAAGAATAAAGTCACTACTGAAAGATCAGAGATAGGTCACCAACTCTAATGCACCTCCCAAGGAGCCCAGTGTATGTTTATCTGGGAAATGGACAGCAGAAAGCCCCTGTGCAGCCACTGTGCCCACGCACGTCCTCAGCCACCCAGTCTAGAGGAAGTTTTAAGCCAAACAGACGTGAAGCGTGCCCACAGCTCTCACCTATCAGCTCCTTGTTACGTAAGTCAACAGCCAGGTTGCGGAGGGCTCCAGACGCTGCTTTCACCACACGCTCACTGTCGTGGGTCAGGAGGTCAGCAATGGCTGAGAGTCCCTTCTCTTGGCGGAGTGCTGAGCGGATGTAGCGGCCGTACTGCAGGGAGAGCAGAACGCCACGGTGGAACCCGGGGAGGCAAAGCTTCGCACTGCTCCTGAGCACGGGGGCACTACTGGGAGCTTGAACACCCACCCACCTCAGAAACCAAGGGCCCCGGGTTCACCCGTAGGGAGAGGTGCTGTGAAGGTCCCACACCCATCTCCAAGTAACCCCAGGCAACGCCTGTGAACGGGAGAGGGCTGACTTACAGGTGTCAAAGCCCTCCCTGCCAGTTAAGCATGCTTTTGTTTGATCTTTCTATATACACAAAGAACACAGAGCAAAGGCACGGTAGGACCACAGAGTGGGCCCAAATCTACACTCCTTTCTTCCAGACTGCAGAAGGGAAGAAGTGGCAGGGAACAGGCTGCAGGAAGAGACGCAGGCAGCCCTTGGAAAGAAACAGACGGCAAAGAGCAGAGAACCCTTAACAGCACAGGAGAGATTTGGTCCACATTTGAGCTGTGCTGCTGAATTATGCCTTCTTCAGAGCAAGTCACATGAAGTGCAACAGCCTGGAATGCCAGAGCTTTGACACTTCGCAGCTCTGTTGACACCAAAAAGTGACGTGCCCCAAATCCCCCTTCCCTCAAACACCGATGAGCACCAACACGTCCAGCTCTACAAGGCACTCACTGTCCAACTGCCAGCACACAGATTCTGAATTGCTCCTGCTGAAGCCTCTAGGATGGGTGGAGTCTTGCTTTCCTTTAACAGGGAGATGTATATCCGGACCACTTCTGGCTGGAAGAGGAGCTCGTAGCCTGCCAGAGAGGCACAGAGAGGAAGAACTTACTCATAATTTCTGTGAGTACCCAAGACCAAGCAACAGACTTGTACAAAGGAGTACTGCTAGGCACTGTCTGCTCTTCAATACACAGCAAGACAGGTTGTCCCTTAACAACTGAAACCCCAGATAATCAGCCCAGATATCAATTTCAGACTTCAGAATACAGTGTTTCAAGGCAGAAGTAGCTGAACTAAAGTCCATGGCCAATAGCTGCTGCTCAGCTGACCACAGAAGGGCTGTGATTTGCTGCCCTCAAGGTTGCCTTATTATTAGGTAAGGTCACTTGGAGTGACCCTTCTCCATGTTCACGCTGCAGAACACTCCTCTAGGCAGGGCATTTTAGTTTAAAATCCTGCCCATCCTTCATGTCCAGGAGAGAAGAGCAGGCAGGACACTGACAAATATAAACCCACAGCAGAGGGGGCCTCTTCGCAGGGCTGTGCCACCAGGCCCTCCCTCAGCTCCGAGGGCAACAGCTCCCTCCGCAGGTGCAGCAAGCCTGTCCTGAGGTAGCACTCACATCCATCAAGACCAGCAGGGCTGCCTGCTGCACAGCTTGTGAGCCTGCACAACCACAAACTACTTTCAAGACAAACCTCTGCCCATTTAGGAGGCTCTTTTCAGTGGGGAGAAAGAAAATTTATCAATGCCACCCCTTCCCAAACTGCTTGTGGGAAGGCAGCCCCATGCATTCAAGTCCTGAACGCACTAGACAACATACCTTTGGCTGGAGTTGTTCTTTTGGGAAAATCCACTGTATCTGCACCAGGGTCTTCAGGAAGCTTTTTACCTTTAAAAAGCAAACACAGAGGCATAAGACACCTCATTTTCCACATCAGCCCAGCAGCTTTTTGCCACTTGCTACAAGAACAAGCCCAGAGGTGAGCAGAAGCTACATGCCACCAAGGACATTAGTCACATCGCAGGCAGCACAAGGCCAGCTGCAGGGGAACAAAGAGCTCAGGAAGGCACCCAATCATTTTCACCAGGGAAAAATTAAAATCAAGAGCACACTCACCTCTGGAGAACCATTCGTCTATTGGCGAAGCGGAGAGGAGGACAGGAGAGAGGGGAGGCAGGAGGAGAGAAGTGCCGACAGCATCATGGGGCAGATCGTTTGGCAAGAAAGCAAAGGGAGGGGGAAAGGACAACACATAAGAAAAGGGAAGATGTGAAGTTAGTGGTTGTCCATCCACCACCATCCCATCACCACAGAAACCCACCAGGGCACCGTTAGCTCGTGTCAAATGCTTTGAATGAGTCAAGCAGTAACTTCCCAAAGCAAGGGAAGGCACAAGCCACCGTGTTTCCAGAGAAAGCCACAATTTAGCCTTCACACGAGAGATGAGAGAACAAATCACAAAGATCCCACACCACCCTCAAGCCCCGCTGAAGCAAGTGTGTCTTTATGTCACAAGCCAACGAACCTTTGCCCTTCTTGGCACCGAAGCAGCTTGCAGCATGGGGCCCAGCATTGTTGGTGGTGACCAGAGGAGTCTCCTGGTAGCGCTCAGCATGGGGGATCTCACGATGGACTTGGTAAGACAAGTTTCTCAGCAGGCACACGCAATTCTCCACCAGCTACAGAAAGCCAGACAGTTCTACTCAGAGCAGCACGTGCCCAGTCCACATCTCTGGGCAAAAGCTGCAGTCACTTAGTCACAGCCTAACTGTAGGGTCAAGTATTCCTACTGCCAACTGCTGGCTGAGAGCCCAATATCTGGTCACACAGTACATGAATCATACCCCACGGAGGCTCTCCTCCCAAGTATGGAAAGGCAGGTGCCTGGTATAGGTGTCCCTCAAGTAGCCCTATCAGCTCAAATTCCTTGATTCCTCTCCATCTTTTGCCCTTATCAGAATGAACCCAGGAACAATCCACAAATAGCAGAGCACTGTGTATCCTTCCCAGCTCTGCTGGCCCAGGTAGCATCCCCTCTTGTAGTACCTTGCTATCTGAGTCCTTTTGGCCAATCTCAGACTGGATGATGTATATCAGGGCATCCACCAACCCATCACATTCTCGCAGCTTCCGACGGGCTTCACTCCGCTCTGAGCTCACATTCCTGTCAATCAAGAGAAATACAGCATGGGGGAGACAGCTGAGGGCAAGCAAGGAGCAGTCCACACCCAAAAGAGCTCAAATCAAAGGAAGACTCCTCTCTGGCTTCTCTTGACAGAGAAACTCCTCCAGTGCCAAGAAGCATCACCACATCGTCAACAGTGGTCAACAGCAAAGCAGTCCCTTCCCACTCCAGGATGGAGTGTTACAGCAGCCCCAGCACATTACAGCTCTCTGCCAGCTGTTTGTAACCCTTCTCCCTTACCTAAGGCAGCCAGCAGTGTTGGTGAGTACTGATTCCCACTCAATGTGGCGGGGTTTTGAGTCCTCGTTGGGTTCTCGCTCCCAGCCTGAGCGGGGGATGATAACCTCGTCAGTCAGGGCATGCAGTGCATGATCCACAATGGCCATCTTGATGGAGTCATGTGAAGACAGGTTCCACAGTGTTCCTGCAAAGCCACACATGCTTGGTCAGGGCACGTGGGCTTTAAACGCCTGCACCCTACATCTCACCCAACAGGTTAGCACCTCCTCACCTCCCCGGAGCCGTTACCTGTGATGACCTCTGTAAGGTCCATATCGTGGGTCTTCCGCAACAGGCGCACCAAAGCAGGCACCCCGTCACAGTTCTTGATGGCAATCTTGTTGTCTTGGTCCTTGCCGAAGGAGATGTTCTTGAGAGCCCCGCAGGCACCATAATGCACCTCTTTCTTGGGGTGGTCCAACAATCCCACCAGCACTGGAATGCCTTTCAGCTTGCGCACCTCTGTCTTCACCTTGTCATTACGGTAACACAGGTGCTGCAGGTAAGCAGCTGCATTGGACTTGACAGCATCCAGGCGGAAGCTCAGCATCGCTATCACCTCTGGCAGCTCTGGCTGACGCCAGTTGCCCGGGGCTGGTGCTCCTTTCCGCAGGCTGTCCAGGCTGGCCAAGCTGCCCCGCTCATGCTGAGCCAGGGGGGCCCAGTAGTACCGGTCGGGAGCCACTTCATCCACCAGCATGTCTTCGTAACTCCTAGGAGACAGCAAGCATCAGTGTGAGCCCCACACCCTGTCCAATTCAGTAGAGGATGGAGAAAAACACGCACAGTACGCAGTCACCACTACTTGCTGCAGCACACCCTCAAAGGGAAGGAGCCAGGCTGCAGAGCAGCACCACGGTATCTTCATTCTCCCCATAGAGCTACACAAGGCCCAGCGGGAGCCTGGAGGCCAGCCCCAGGCATCTCCAAAATGGACTGGGCAGCCCCAGTAGCAAGTAGGGCCACTTCCCACCTAACAGATCTCTTCTGGGTCAGACACAGAGTGCGGCTCTCTGCATAACTTTTATAGTGGCAAGGCCCAGCCCTTAGGCTGAGCCAGCCCACGTAACAGCACCAACAACTACTCAGGCCCACGGCCACTAGAGGGCAAGTTCATCCCACAACATACTGCTGGTGAGTGCAAACCACACAGAAGTTCCCCAGCCCTCCACGCCCAGTCTTGGTACAAGCAAGTCCTCTATCTGACAGTAGTGCACACACACCCAAAGCATACAGAATCCCTGATTCCAACCCTATTTTTAGGTCACTGTTAAGCCTCCGTGGCAAATAGAATCTTCCCTCCACCTGGGCAAAGGAATTTGGCAGTCTCCAGCAGAAAGGGACAGGAGAAGCAGGGGGTTGTATTACTGACTGCTACATGCATTGGGACTATCGTGTTACACACTGTGGTTGCACAACCCAGGTCCAAGATGAGGCTGTGTCCCCCGGCTCACATCTGCTCAGCCACTTTCAGATCCTACTTCTAAAGCTCCTAAATCTGACGCAGGAAGGATCCCCATAACTGACTGAGTGGGTACATAAAGATGCAAGAAAGGACAGTGAGCAGTTCTGTTCCCTACACAATCTCCCCTAAATAGAACTTGCCAAAACCAGAAGCTCCAGGGGCACAAAGTCACAAGGGCTGGCAACCAAAGAATGCTGCTCAGTCTGGCAACTGAGAACATCACCTTGGGCACCAACAATGCCTTTGCAGCAGAACAAACAGAAGCAAAACAGCTGCCCAATGCCAACACTGCAAGAGAACATCTCAACTCTTTCCACCACAGCCTGCAGCTGGCCTCACCCCTGTAAGATGCCTTTAGCATCCCAGAAGGGGTATGGGATGGAGTAGCAAAGGCAGGGGAAGGCAAGGAAAGCACTCCTGTGCCGCTGCTGAGCCTTCCTGCAGGCAGGGAGCTCCAAGCAGAGTCATGCAGAGGGTACAAGGCCACATACCGCTAGCACACACACCACACTCTCTGCCTAACACGCTCCCTTGTCCCCCACGTGCCTGGCAAGCTGCCTCTCTGAAAGAAGTCATTAAACACCAGGCCCCTGCTCAAGACAAACATCTTGGAGGCAGGGGGTGGGATGCTGCTCTTGCTTGTTGCCATCTCGGTGAGCCAGTCAGCTGAGCAAGATGGTAACTGAGAAGGCAGGGGACAAGCCAAGCTCAACAGTGCCTGGATTCCACAGATTGCTGTGATCTTTATCGGTCTGCACAGGGAGGGAGAGCCTGCTCATGGGGCCGTAGGAAAGGGCTGCACACATGCCCTGTCTTCTGGACTCTGCCTCACCCCTTTTGTCCAAGGGGCATGCTGAGAGGCCACACGGGGGCTCAGGACTGCCAAAGCTGGCTTCTCACAGCCTTCTCAAGTCAGCCTCACCGGCTCTCCTTTAACCAGCACACACTTCACAACAAGGCTGGGGAAATCAATCTGGGAGAACAACTGCCCCGACTGGTTCAACACAGCAACAGAGACGCTCGTGCTGGCACAAGCCAGAAGGACAAAGCTCCTCCTTCAGTCTCTGCAGCAGCCAAGAGCTACTGGGGATTTACAGGATGCGCCCTGAGAAATGGGTGGATCTCTGACAGGGGCTGGCAAATACGTCCTCTTCCCTTCCTCTCAAGCCTCTGCTACTTGTCCTAGGAACCTAAGGAGCCTGCTGTCAGCCCTCTGACTATCCCCATAGCAGGAATGGACGTACATTCCAGCCCACCAGCAACTCCTTCCCATTGCTGGGGTTCAGGCTCAGCTTCTCACTCCAGTCCTATCTCAGTACTGTTCAAATTCACTCCAGCACCTCCTCAATCTCCACTTGGCAGCACAAACAGCAGGTAGAGCAAGCTGAGAGGCTTAGCCAGCCAGCAGCCACGTTCACTAGTATGAGTAAACTGTGCAAGATAGCTGTCCTTGGCAGCCATAGCCTCTAGCAGGTAACATTCCAAGATGCCTGCAAGCATCTTGGAAGATAGTTAAGGACCACCCAACCCCTCTTCTACTTGTCCAAGGCAGCTGCACAGGAGTCAAGCTGGAAAAGCTGCTGATCACCCATAGCAGAATGAAGGGGAGAAGCTGCAACTGTCAAACAGGTCGAGCAGCCTGTCCCACCCTGCAAGAGCATTCCCTAGGGCACTGCAGTGCTAAGCCTTGTTTGCTTCAGCCCCAGGCTCAGCACAACTCCTTCAGGGCTGCATGCCACTCTCAGCTTGGCAAGAATGCAATGGTGAAGTTGCTGCTGCTTCCAGCAGACATCAGGCACATTTCCCAGCAGATAAACCAGACTGGGGCATAGGATGAATACTGCAGCACCCAACCTCAGCCAGTGACAGAGCAGCTGGATCTTTCTCACCATGCTAATAGAACAGGTAGTGCAGAGGAAAAAGCCCAGAGCCATGTCCAGCCACCTCACGGAACTCCTCGCTGCAGGACAACTGTCAATTAGCACTGAGTATTAACCACCAATTAAGCACACAATTAATTTGAAACAGATACAAGATTTCTCCTGCACGAGCCACGCCTGACTCATCTTGTGGCGCTGTCCCTCCTTCTATTTGCACTGCAGTGCACACCTGAAGGACTTGAGGGTATAAGCTGCTGCAGAGAACATGAAGAATTTTAAAGCAGTACAACTCAAATTATGTTCAGTTACCTATTATGTTACATCTTGTTACAGCAAGGCTGTAACATCTTAATCTCGTGGGTCTTTTCTAACATAAGTGATTCTACGGTTCCTTTGAAAAGAATGAGTTGAAGGAACCTTAGCACAACCCTCTGCCCCCAGCGTGTGCTGCCACGCACTCAATACCCCAATACCTGAGCCGACGTCGAGCATCAGATGGCGTCCCTGCTCTCCTGGCTGTGCCATAGTCAGACATAAGCCCGTAGTCCACATCATCAAAGCCCACACTGCGCTGGTCATCTTCCAGGCCGTACGGCTCAGGGTGGAAGTGGTTGAGGTCCATGTTACTGCCCCCAACACGTACTTGAGGTTGAGGGCCATAGATGTCCTGGCGGCTGGGGGCCCGGTAAGCGTCCATAGATGGGCGATAGCGCTCATCAATGCGGGTGACACGGGACAGGCTGCCATAGCTGTGATCGCTGCCCGGGTAGCTGTCGTCATAGGGGCGGCCATAGCCATCGGGGTAATGGTAGTTGCGAGGAAGCGTGGCCGTGCCTGGGTGGTTCAGGTAGCCGCCAGGGCCACCGTTGCCATTCTTGCGGAAGTTCCTGTCCATCGTCTGGACGTAGTTGCTTGGGACAGGTGAAGTTTCCAAGGGTAACCCGTCAGGCCCCATGGGGACCTGCTGCACCGTTCGGGTGGTCACAGTCTTCACCACTTTCTTCACCTAGAGAGATGGACATAGGGTATATTCTCATCAGGAAATTGTCCCACCCCACAGCCCTGTGACCTCCGAGGCCCCTTTCAGTCCAGCACCTCCCTCTAGGCAGGTTTCACATAAACAATGAGCTGGCAACGATCACAGCTGTGACACCGACCACTGAGTCCCTAGCTGGCATCCAATCCATCTGCTCCCTCCCTCCCCAGGCACATACCGTGGTCTCTGTGCGTCGGGTTGTCCCATCATCTGACGTCTCCACAGACACAACAGACATGGCCCCTTCTGGGTCCTCCTCCATGGTGTACGTCTCCTCTACAATTTGGCCCGGGTCCTGCATTCTGGGAATTGTGCTGTACAAGAGGTGGCTGTGGTCCTGGGAGGAGCAGGAACACAAAGTCATCAGCACAACTGACACAGAGCCAGAAGAGGAGATCTTACACCCCAAGGAGCCCCAATATCCCCTTGCACAAGAGGGTGTACTCACCAAACATGCCCCGAGTCCTCTCAGCCAAGGTGGTCACATTAGAAACACAAGTTCCCCTCAGCCAGCTAGGTCTCCCCACAACCCCATCCAGCAAGGAGGCTGCCCACAGCTTCATTCCTCTCACCTGTGGTCCGTTGAGCTTCAGATCTGGGAACTTCTGTCTTTCCAGGTCAGCATCACCCAAGAAACGGCCGTTCTGAAATGCATATCATCATTGCAGGCCTGTTACCCAACCACTCCCCTGTCCCTGCCTGGATTGCAGCTATCCCCACTTTCCTGCCAGCCCCAGGTCCCAAGCTGGCTCCGACAGCCATAGCACACGCCATACATCACTCCTCAGCTCTGTGTAGCACACAGAAAGCCAGCACCCAGGCCAATCGAGCCGAGAGAAGTTACAGGACATGGCACTAAGCCTACCTCCCCCACACTACTTGCATCTCACTCAAATACCCTTATGGAGAAGCCAAAAGCCTCTCAACTCCCCCCAATTGCCCTGGAGACCTTTCCTATCTCCTGAAGCAGGAGCTACAAGCCCTGAGGCTAACAAGGATTGCAAGGGAGCTGACTGCTGGGTGTTGCAGCTTTATCTGCTCACACTGTCCCTCCAGTTGCCCTTTCCCATCCCACATTTCTCCTGGCAGCACCAACTTTCACACAGTCAGAAAGGTGGGTGCCTTTTACATGACACTGTGCCACCAGCCCTGAAGACACCCTCCCCAGAACAGCCCAGGAAATCGAGAGCAGGACAGAGACCTTGAGCCAAGGCATTTTAAACCACACTTCAAGCCCTGTAGAGATCTCTCACAGTCCTGGCTTGGCTACTCCAGGGATAAACCAAGATGCCAGCAATGTGCCCATTGCCACATGAAAGGAGACAAAGACACACCCTCACAGCTAATACACCAACTCACGTTCCATCTTCTGACAAGCCAGGTGGAACATGCAGGGATATCCAGGTACTGAACACAGTCAACCTTAACTACTCACGGAAGAACAAAACCAGAGCTGACGTGGCAGCAAGACCCTCCAGGCCAATACCTTCTGTCCAGAAAGACCCAGATAGGTGAGCTGAGGATGTGCAAACATCAGCCCCGGCCACGTACAACACTGCCAGCATTATGAGACCAGCATAGCCCTCTTCTACCTCATCTCTAAGGAAGGCCAGAGGGAGCCAGGCCCAGGGCCATCCCCACTGAGACGGAACTGACAGGGACAGGGGCTCCGGGAGCCTCCGTGCCCACCTCTGCCTTTTTTACCTGGTGCCGCCGGGAGAGTGTGCCGTTGGCCAAGCCCGGGCCGGCGTCCTGTGGGGAGACCCGCACTCTTTCCAGCTGGGCTGAGACATGGCGCCGCTCCTCCTCCAGCGCCCGTGTCAGCTTCTCAAACTGCGCCTCCTGCTCCTTGACAGAGGCAAGGATGCTGGCGGTTGACTCCACTTCCGAGTCGTCCATGGGTGACGGTTACCCAGGACGGGCGGGGAAGGGGCGAAGGGCACAGGGAGGCACAAGCAGAGTTGGCTTGGTGTCAAGGTGAGAGGAGGAAAAGTGACCCAGAAGGGGAGGAGCCCCGCTCTTCACTGCGCATGATTTGAGGGAGGAAAGGAGGAGAGAAAAAAAAAGGTCAGAAGAGACTGATTTCATTATGACAGATTTTCAGAGCAGGGGAAAAACAATAACGAGACATTCACAGCTCCTTCCAATCCACAAAAAGGAGCACAGTGGGACAGGACCCCCAGGAGGGGGCTGCACAAACCCCTCTGAGAGCTGCCACTCCACCACCACCCTCAGGTCCTCGTCAGGGTTCCCAGACCTGCGGCCATCCTAGGAGGTCCTCAGCCCACTGATATGGGATGGGCATCGGCCAAGACCCATCAACATCCCCTCCCAAAGGAAAACAGTGAATTAGCACATCACAATGAACACATTTTGACAGAGAAATCATTTTCTTCCATACAGACCTGTTAGAAGAGGAAGCTCGGGTGTGATTGGCAAAGGCACGGGACAGCCAGGTCTAGACGTAGAGAGTCATGGGAGAAATAGCCCAGCCACCACAGGGAGGAAGCAGGAGGAAGAGAGCTGCAGGGACAGCAGGAGAACGGGGTCAAACCACGAGCAAACTTAAATCAGAAGGCAGGGAAGGGAACAGGCTGAGGGTCTCCTCTCCTTCTGAAGGATGGAGCTGGGTCAGCTGCAGGCTCGCACCATCTCTGCAACAGCTCCCTCAGACACTGCAGCCCCTCAAACAGCTCCCTGCTGACAGGAACACCATGGGCCTGGCCCTCCACCTCCCCAGCCAAGCCCCGGCAGGCCCACAAGAGGTTTTCCCAAACCCATACAGTCACTGCAGGCATGCGGGGACTCGCTCGAGCCAGGCAGCCGAGGCAGGGACTGCTTTCCCACGGTCTCCAGCACAGCAGCAGCTTTGCCCGCTCTCCCAGCACCAACCCAGGGCCAGGAACATGGGCACCGCCACCCTTACACAGTACCTATCTCCTCCAGGCCCTCACTCCCTGGCAGCCCAGTCCCTCCAGTTTCAGTCTGACGCAGATGGTGGGTCAGAGGCACCAAGAGTAGAGTGGGTGTTCTTTTGTTTGTTTTTTTTTGCATCATTTTTAATGTGGAAAATAAGTAAGAATTAACTCAAGAGTATTTAGATTAAACACTTCCTGAAATGCCTCCCCCACTGCCAGCGAGCCCAAATCCCTCCTGTGGCTCTGCCTGCCCCAGAGCTTCCCACAGACACCCGAGGAGCCCATCTGCCCCAGCACTATCAGAGAGACACCACTGTGACCAAATCCAGCAAAGCAGGCTGGATTTTTTTCCATGTGCTTCAAAGGCTGCCTGCAGCATATCCCAACATCTGGTTGCCTCCATTCTGTAATGCCTTCATCAATAAAAAAAATCCAGTTCTTCTACTTGTGTATGTGCAGTGCCCAGCAGAGATGAGGCTCTAGATCACCTTGCCTCCCCGTCTCTGCCCCGTAAGAACTCAACTCTCACCCTCAAATCAAACACCCCTCCATCCATGGTTGGCATCCATCTGAATTGATGGGGGATGCAGCTCCTCAGCCTCCAGGGCCACCACACTGGATCTCAGTGACAGCTCCCTCGGTCACAGAGCAAGGCTGCAGGGCCCAACCCCACAGCCATGCTGCAGAGGCTGTAGCAGGACAGTGCTTGCAGTCCCAGGGGACTCAGCCAGCAGGTGCCCAGGCTTCCCCAGGAGCATGGGAAGGTCATATCACACACAGACACCCTATGCCTACAGAGTACCCAAGATCCCAGCCAGAACGACTGCTGGCAGGTAGAAGAGCACTCATTTCCAGCACAGCATCTCACTAAGCTCTTTAAAAGGGAGAAACAACCCCGACAAAAAAAAGGGCTCCTGCACAGTACAACCTCCCTCAGGCAACCATGCCAGAGGAGTTTGCCATTACAGGAAGGTAAGGCCCCACACAGCCAGCAATGCCACTCAGGCCCATGTCCCCACCTCCACACATCCCCTGGGTGCACAGCCAAGAGAATGTGGATGCTAACAATGGAACTCGAAGGGCCATTAAGGGAGCCAGATAAGGGGCTGGAGCAGCCATGAGGCTGTTTCCTTCCTGTCCCTTCCACAGGGAGTAAACACACAGCAGCGGGGGAAGGAACACAGGACTGGTCCCTCGCCCACTCTCCTTGCTCCCCTGCACTCACAAACATCCACCCCAGCAGAAGCTACAGCACAGCCCTTCCCCACCACCAGCTGCCACACACCCCCCAAACAGCAACCCAGCCACACGCCTTCCTGGCTGCTGAGGGTCAGCCCCAGATCTCTGCCTTCTGCCAACTCCCTGCGGGCTCCCATACCACAATCTTGGGGAGCAGCTCCCGGGCACAGCACAACCCTTTGCTGGCTATCCACGGCAATTCAGGGCTACAGCCATCTTCAGTTTGGGACATGGAGCAGGAGGGAAGAGGAGGAAGCAAGCTGCCTGTGACAGCTCCAAGCTGAGTAAGCTGCATCCCACAAAACAAAGGACGAAATTCCAGGGATTGCTGTGCACCCATCTCCCCCTCCTCATGCCCCGCCTCTGAAGATACAACTACACAGAGCATTTTTCCGAAGCCAGACCATGACCATCTTTGAGGAGGGCTGCATGAAAGCCTTTTCATCATGAGAGGCACTTTCTGACACACCCATTACTTAAAAAACCCAGCAAGCCAAAAATATTTCAGCTAGCTTGATTCAGGGCAAAGCTAAAAAGCCTGAAGACAAAACACATCCCCAAGCAGCTCCTACCCCAGGGCACAAGGAACACCACAGTACTCACCTCACAGCCCCCAGGGACCAATGCATGCACCCAGAAAGCCTGACAGCCCGGTCCTTCTGGCCTCGTTTTCCCACTTCCCAGTGCTGGGCCAGCTCTGTGCTGCACTCTGAGCTCCTGAAATCAATCTTCAACAGAGATGCACAGTGCTGAAGAGCCCAGGGGAAGAACTCTGGATATTCTTCCTGAACGCTTCTGCTCCCAACTCTTGGGACGGTTGCCTGCCCCAAGACCAAATACTTCACCTGTGAAAATAACTCTGAGGGCCCAATCACAGCCATACCCACATGGAGTTCACCGTATCCTACTCTGCTGGAGGAGGGAGTTGAAGCTTTGAGGGCTCCTCACCAGCAAAGGCTCCTGTTGGCCAGGGAGACTGACCCTGAGCTGGCAGACAGAACAGGACACCGCGGGCAGAGCACAGACAAGATCCTACAGATAACACATAGCAGCCTTGACAAGCACCACCTGCTGCAGTGCATAAAGCAACTCAAGCATAAAGCCCCTCTGCTGGGTTTTCACAAGGACCTGTTCCCCCTCTTCCAGGATGGATGCAGTTACGTCTACTCCCTCAACGCTGTGGATTTTTTGGGCAAAGCACAAGCCAGGCACCTGCAAAGCCAGAAGCCACCTGCACCATGTCAGCCCTGCACAGCTCCCTGCTAGGAGGTGCACATACAGCCCTCATTACAGCACAGAGGGAGTCAGCGTCACAGCGGCTCGGGCCGCTATTACCCACCCACAGCAGCTTTCCCGGCTGTTGGCGCTCCTCACACACCTGTTCCACAGGACAAGGTTTGTTCTCATCACACAACACTGCCTGCAGCTCCAGGCAGAAGCAGAGCTGCCTCCCCCTCCAGCAGGACAGTCCTTTGCCCAGTGCTGGGTCACAGGGCTGGAGGAGACGTGGCAGGGACAGCAGGGCTGAGGGCAGGCAGGCCTGCCAGGCACGCTGCCTCAACTACTAGACAAGAAAAATGGCAACATCGCCCCAGTAATTAGCCTTGCCCTATCCATTTGAGGGGCTCAGAGCCAGCTGGCTGCCTGCCCTTCGGCAGGGAACACGGACAACTCTCAGTACCAGGACCCTGCCCTCTCTGGGGAGGAAGAAACAAACTCTCCGGGTTCCATCTACCTACTGCGATGTACCTAGTAAAAACAGAAGCCCCATCAATAATTGAAGCCTGCAATTGCCTGAGCTCTCACAGTGCATTACATTTGATGCTCTACACTGGTTCACATCCCTACTAATTCACCACAGGCTCCCGATCAGTCTCAATTAGCTAAAAAATAAATGAACCAATATCTCTGGATTCTTTCCACACCCAGGCTCAGAGAGGCACGCGCAGCCCTCACGCTGCACAGGGAGGCAAGCACCAATGCCAGTCAAGGTGCAGCAGGGCAGCACTTTTTGAGGTAGAGAAGCCATGAGCTGAACACAAACACGTGGAAGGGGATCACTATCAGGAGAACACAATCTTCTGGATGCACTTCCAAAACCATAGTAGCCCATAGCCCACCCTGAGAATAGGCACAGGCAAGCAGTATGGCTGACCTACAGCTCCCACACGTGCCTCGTCCAAAGCAGATCTTATCCAGCAGCCTGGAGGTTGCAGAGGACACGGAAGGAACTTTGGACAGGCTACTACCCATGCAAGAAGCCCAGTCACCATCCCAGGAGCTACTTGTGCTGACAGGGCCACTCCCTGCCCCATGGGCAGCCCAGCCCACACCACCAGGCCCTGGCAAGAGTTGGGGAAGGAGGAACCACAACACGAGGAGCAGCCAAGATGAAGAGAGCCACTCAATACTCATAGCACACAGCTTGTCCAACCAGCAGCAGGATGGCAGCCCAGACTGCCTCGCTTAACTGCCACAAGGGCTGCAGTCCCTGTTAGGAAAGCTTCCCTTGCAGAGGGAGTTACCTGTAGGGATGCAAGCAGACACAATAGCAGGCCGTATAAGGGAAAGGGCCAGCAGCCAAGGCAGGATGATAAGAGGGGAGAGATAAGAGCAGGGTGGGGCCTGCACACCAGGCTGGAGTGAGGAAGCAGACGTGGCACACACCCCCACTATCACCCCCCAAAAGAAAAGGGCAGGAATGCACGATATAGATCAAGTTCCAAGGACCAGCCTGGACAAAGAGGTTGGGAAATGCAGTGGGCTACCCTCTGGCAGGAGACAGGCCCTACCAGGAACAGGGCAGACGTTCAGTGGCTTCTGCTGCCCCAGGGAGCAAAGAGCTGGGCTCAGCATACACAGGCAATCAGGGTTGCCCCCGGGGAAGGAGAAAGGAACAGCACGAGACTGGCCACAGAAAGAAAGGGCTGGCCACAGAGAGCAAGGCTTGTTCTGTTGGTATGTCAGTAATCCAGCCCCAGGGCAGCTGTCCTGGGGTGCTCCACAGGGTGGGGGCTGCCACACTCTAAAGCCACTGTCCCACCCAGGCAGGGTAAGACCTTTAGGTAGGCTCAGAAAGGTGGGCCCAGGGAGCCCCTTCCTGTCGGCAACACCCAGCACATCACCCTAAGGGCCCCCCTCCCGCACGTCCCCCACGTGCCCAAGGACAGCAGGAAGGCAGGGGCCTGCAGCCCCTGCGCTCAGCTCCCATCCCAGCCCCCCGGCCCAGGGGTTTCACATGTTGGGAGCCCTTTAGCAGCACAAAGGCAGCTCTCTCCTCTCTGTGGGAATTTGCAGCTGAGCGCTCCGCAGGGACAAAGGGATTTCACAGGCACATCCACAGCCGGCCAGCCTCCCTCCCCCCGGCGTTCCCGCTTCCTGTCACAGTAGCACCAGACCTCAGGGGCACAGCAACAAACAAACACCAAGTGCCGGATTCTGGGAACGGGGCCAGAGCATTCCTGGGGCAGGCTGCACTCCGGCGGCCAGCAGGCTCCTGGGCCCCGCAGGGAAGGGGTAGTCCCCAGCTCCCCACCAGGGCAGCTCCCCGGCTCCGTGCCTTGCTCTAGGGACAGCAGCCACCAAGATAAAGGGCACAGAAGCCCCCAGACAAGCGGGTTGCTCCCAAACCTCAAGTTCTGCACCCCAGCTCCAGCCACCCTGGTCCATGCCACCACATCTCTGGCCTTCACTCCACCTCTCCCTACACCCACCACCAGGCTGAACTTTCACATTCAGCCGCCTCTCTCCCACAGGCAAAGCAAACACCAGCCTGGCACCGCTGAGATAAGAGCTGTACTACAGAGCTGAGGGAGCAAAGTCCCTTCTCAATTAAATCTGAGGTTGCAGCATGGCAGGAGCTGCCCCCACCAAACCCAAACAGATGGGCAAGGGCACAGCACCCACCTGGGAGCTCACATCTACTGCTGGCTGCCTTCGAGCAGGAAGATGCAGCAGAGAGAGCAGCAGCATCAGGAACCCTCCCATCCAGCTGCAGGCACAAAGCATCCACGGTCAGCAAAGCCCAGAGCAAACAGTACACCTCAGCACCAGACCAGCAGTCAGACAGGGGGATTTCACTCCTTTCTTAAGGCATAGCTCTCTCTACAGCCATCCTTTGCCCTTCCCAACAAAGCCACTTGAGATCATTTCCTCTTCCAACACCTGCAGCCTCCACATGGCTTACTCATGCCTGACCAGGGCACAAAGGCACAGGGGGCTGGGACTAACACAGAACTGCCCTGACAGCACTGCACACCAGAAGGGTACTGCATCTGGCTTGTCCAGGGAGTGCCAGCCCCACCAGGAATTCCAAAGTCACGAAGGAACAAAGGAGATGGAGAAGAACAGGAGCACAAAATCCCCCCCACTCAGACTCATAAACAGTCTCCCTGTCCACCCTAACAGACACCCAGACGCAAAGGCAGCCTCCTTTCTTTTCTGCCCATCCCACACACAAATCCACAGCCAGGTCGGTCACACACCTCTCCCCACAGAGAGCAAACAAGCAGGCAGTGAGCTCATACTTGGGGAGGGAGCGGCATGCAGGGTATCTCCAAGATGGCTCCATAGCAGCAGCAGGACGTCCTCCCCTCACTCCAAACAGCCTCAGCTCCTGGGCAGGCAGTGGGCTGAGTCACAGCACCCATCAGCCGGGGCTGGGCAGGAGGATGCAGCCAACAAAAGCCCAGCTCCATTCAGCATGACCTCATCAGATGCCCCCGCTCCCTAATTGCATGTATGCATCAACTCCAAGTGAATTTAGAGGACCCTGCCAAGAGGAGTAATAAATGGGTGAAGGAAAACCACGGGGGAAGCATCCTACCCCAGCCCGCAGCTCAAGCTGCTCCCCAGCACTACATTTGGCTGCAGATCCCCTTAGCCCGCTTGCCGAGGCAGCATCCCAGGCTCCTGCACCATCCAAGGGGAAGGAAACCTGCATTTCCTGGTCAGACGGGAAATTACATTGTGGCTTCCCTTTCCCGTAAGCTTCTAAACACCACGTCCTGCCAAGGGCTGCTCCCCACTACCCTGACATATCACACAGGCTGGGACAAGGCACGGGCACAGACACCCCAACAGCCAGCTCAGCGTAACCGGGCCCACTCCCCAAGGGACGCATCCTACCTCCAGGGACCACATCCTCACCTATCAAACACAGCGGCTACACACTCCTGCCTGGGGCAGCAAGCATCTCACAAGCAAAAGGCAGCAGGTGCCACGTCCCAGCCTCAAGGATCCTCCCATGGGGACACAACCGTGCCCAGAAGGCTCTGAAGATGGGCTCAGTATTTGCAGAGCTGAGGAGGAAACAGCACCATAACCCTGCAGGACACCTGTTTGCCGAGACTCTGCAGCACATCCAGGCCATCCCCTGCTCCCCTAGCAGCTCCTGTGAGCATCAGGCAAGGCCATCTCCCCCCCACCACTCCCCACACGCACACCTTGAAGCAACTCAGCCTGCCTGGAGCCAGGCACGGCAAACAGCTGTGCGTGCAGCAACATGCTTGGAAGAATGCGTTACTCCACTGGGCAAGGGGCCTGCCAGGAACACGCAAACACGGTGACCCACCCTCCTAGGTCGGAAAAACTCGTCTTTGCAGTTCACCATGCTCCCTCCCGCCTGGTGCAGCTACCCACGCTGCCCGGTGAGAGCCAGCACCGCTTCCCTGGCTTGCCAGGCCAGTGCTGGGAGCATTGCTGAGGAGGCAGCCCAGATACAAGAGCAAATCTGAAGCCCAGGCACCGTGTAAAAGGGAGCGAGAAGAACATTCATCATCTGAGGACAGAGAGACACCTTCCTCCTCTCGGCCTGGGTGGAATCAGTTCTCCATATTCATTTCCTCTGAGACTACCGTGCTCGTAGGAGAGATCCTACCTGCCTCACCCCAAATAATTGGTCTCTACCAGCAATTCTGCACTTGCATAAGTGGCATGAGAGCAGCTCATCCCCCAGCTGCTCTCCAGCCCTCGCTCAGAAGCTGACACAGGTGAGGCCCATACCTTCCAGGCTGCCCACACCAGGGCCAGGCCAATTGCAGGAAGGCAGTGAACTTTGTGCAGTGTTCACTGCAACTGGGGCCAACGCCCATAGGAACAGGAGCCATCAGAGCCAGAACGGAGACATGATAGCAGCTCATGCCCTTGCATAGGACCCAGCAAGCTGCTGCTGCCACCAACCCATCCTGAGGTCACCTACATTCTAGAAGAGCACCCAGATCCACAGCAGCACTCAACTAGGCTGCAGGAGAGCCAGTCCAAGGGCTCACTCTTCCATCCTGCTTGCTCAGCTCCCTTCAGCCTCTGACTTCCTTGGCCGAGCTTAGAAAGAAACCTCCAGCCCACAATGCTGAGCTAGGGCACCCACATGCCTCCTGACACAACTCCAGCACCCCACAACCACAGAGCCACCCCCTCCTTCTGCCTCACCAACAGGCCAGGCTGTGGTTTCACAACCTGTTTAGGCCACGCAAGCAGAAGAAATCCTGCTCTCATCAGCACAAGCATCTGAGTAACCAACTGTTTAGAATCACACGTACAGAGGAAAGAAGTGCTCAGCCCAGCCCAGACCCCAACCCACACAGCCACAAACATTTCTGCAGTGGATAGAGGCCAGAGTGCTGCGGCATGAGGTCAGCGTGGAGCTGCAGCACACAAGGTAGAGGCCGGAGGACAAACCATCCAGGTGTCAGCCCCTCTGTCTCCAACCCCTGGAGGGTGGCTGGTCTCTCAGAAGGGAAAGGAAGCGTGGAACCTGCTGCCAGCTCACTACCACCTCCCTGAGCCACATGCACCAGAAGCACATGAGGCATCGCACCACGAGCCTCTACCTTAACAGGAACACAGAGGGAAAAAGACAGGCATTCCAGTAAGGGCTGTAGATCCCAGCACCACACCTGGCATCTTGCGGTGCTTAGTCACCAGCTTCCCTCCGCACCCCACCAGCCATCTCACCCCACCGTGCCGGGTGCTTTAGATATGGGCCACAATGAGGAAGTAGTACCACACGCTGGGAAAACTGCTTCCTCTGTAAAGAAATAAAGCAGGGAGATATACTGCACGCTTCGGTGCAGGAGGATCTCTCCACACCCAGGTGACATAGAAGCATGAGTACAGCAGTCACCTCACATTGGTCCATTCCTATGTACCAGTTACCGGACAAGGAAGACAGTGGGACACAGCAGCTCTCCTGACTGGAAGGTGGGCAGCACAGCAGTAGACATGAGACACACAGGAGTCAGACACACTTATGATCCAACACTCGTCAACCAGCTGCCACGAGCCCCCAGGACAGGAACAGGCCAAGCCTGAAGAAACAGTGCTGTGTCCTTCCCACCCTCAGCAGCCCCCTGCACAAGAGCAGGAGCCAACAGAAGGCTCAAGTCACCTTGGGGAACTCCAGCACTCTGTTCTGCAGCCTGCAGATCCAGCCCCTTCCCAGCAGCCTCACATCGAGGCACATTCCTGAATGCCGTGCCAGAGGACAACTTCCTCCACCAGCCAAGCCCTGTGTCACATACAGAACTCTGAGGCTGCCTGAATCACTCAACAGGTTTAGATTTTGTCACCACAACCAGGCAACACCTGTTGCTTTTTATGGACCCAAATCAATTCTGCGGTTCTGCTCCTTGTCAGAAACAGAGCTGAGGCAGTGAGAATAGCACAGTGCAGTGACCTGTGTCTGTAGGGAAAGGAGGGAGCTCTGTGCATCCAGCCTGAAAAGGACAGGCAGACAGCATGATCATTGCAGGGCAGCTGGGGAGAGAAACCGGAATGCTCAAATAGCACTGTCCTCTAAAGTTGCAGATGCCACTCAGAGAACCCAACAACCTTCCAGGCATAGTCCAAGCCAATCCTTCTGGGTGCCCTAAACACACCCCTTGGATCAAGGCCTAATCTCAAGAGCAGAAACAGTAAGAGGCAATCTAGCGACAGAGCTGGGCCTTCCTCCCAACTCCCAGCCCACCCCAGGAAAAAAAAGGGACCATGAGGACTCTTGAATGCAGTGATGCAGGGTAGCCTTGTTGGATGAGAGGTACTGACCCCACTGTGGCCAAGGCAAACCCAAAGCTACGCAGCACTGAGCCTCTTCATCCTCCCACCCTTTCAGGAAGGCAAAACACACACACAGTCCCAGCAAGGGCTACATACCACAAGACAGTTGTCTGCACACAACACAGGTTCAGTCAAATTCAGTTTAAGAACAGCTTAAAAAAAAAAAAAAAACAACAAAAAACAGCTGCCCCCTTTTTTTTTTCCCCCCTATTAAAGTGTGTGAGTAAATCTGGACAAGCCAGAGAGCCTCTGGGAAACGTGGGTGCAGTCCTTCCCTGTTGTCAACAGCGAGCCCTGTACTGTCAGACAGCAGCGTGCAGCAGGCACCAGGAACAGGAGCAGAACAACAGCAAGGCCCACAGCCAACACAGACCAGCCCTCATCCTGTATCACCACGTCCAGGACAAGGCACGGACAAAAGAGGCTGGCACATGAACTGCAGTCCCCGGCCCACTGCAATCCTAGACCAAGTTAGTGCCAAGTTTCAGCACCTTCCCCACACCAAGCTGAGGACAGTCTTACTTCCAGATCCACAGTGAGAGAGGACACAAAAGGAACCACCACACCAGCAGCTGTACTTGGCTCCATGCACCAGGTGCTGCCCCTAAATGCCCAGCAGCTGAGCAGGAGAGCCCTCCACAAGGCACAACTGACCCGGGAGGGGATCACCCAGCAGGGCAGGGAAAGGTCTGTCCCCGTAGCACCAACCACACAGCCCAGCTAGGCAGCAGGACCTTCCCAGAGCAGGAGCCACCACCCGGAGACCCACCCCTCCTCAACAATCAGAGGAAGCTCAGCCGTCCCCACTCCCTCACTTGAGGCTCAGAGGATATAACAGAACCACTGGCAGTCCTCCCACGGACAGGCACCCGGACTTGAGTGCAGTCACCCCAAGTTCAGACTCCGCTCCGCAGCGCTCCGAGGAGCGGCACCGCGGAAGGTCGGCGGCCTCTCGCACAAAGGCACGAGACGGCCAGCTGACAGGAATCGCGGGGCTGCCCGCAGGGCCCGGACCAGGCTGCAGGAAGGCCGTCCCCGTTCGGCAGCGGCTCGGTGCCACCTGCCAGCCCGCGGCTCCGCCGCACGTCGCTTTTCGTCGTCGGGAGAGCAGAGGCGCGCTGCCGAACGGAGCCGCCTGGAAGAAGGGAACTGCCGCACCCGCCCCGCGCCCTTACCCTCCCCAGCCACCGGAGTCCCCTCCCGCTAGAACAAAGGCGCAGACGAGGAGAAGGACACGGCAAGACTCCGCTGCCAGCACGCGGGGGGGCGGCCCGGGCCCCGCGCCCTGCCCCAGCCCGCCCTCCTCCCGCACAAAGGCAGGGCGAGGGCCGCGGATCTCGTTTGCATCGGCCGCCAACCCGCCGCGCCTGTCGGGCCAGCTCCCCGCGCCGCTGGCACGCCGGCGCCCTTTGTTGTGCGGCCCCGGGATCGGCGACACGCGCGGCTCGGCCCGGCCCCCGGCGGGGCGCGGGGCAGCAGCGCGGGGCCGCGCCGCGACTATCTCCTTCGTCCTCCCCCCGCCGCGCACCTCGGGGCGCTCCCCGGCACCGACGGCGTGACCCTCGCCCGGCACCGGCCCACGCCCCGCGAGGCACGGCCGGGCCCGACCTCGGTCCCCCTCCCTCGGTAAACGACGGGACGCCGCGAGCGGGACTCACCGTGGCCGGGCTCCTCGGGGACAGGGGGCGGTCCCGCCCCGCGGCCGCCCGGCCCGCTCCGGCGGGAGAGGAGCGGCGGGACGAAGGGCTCGAGACGCGAGGAGCCCCGCCGAGGGGCGACCCGGAGCAGCGGCCGTCCGGGTCGAGAGAACGCAGCGCAAGCGGGGCCGCAGAGGGTCGGGCCGGGCTTCGCCACCGCCGCTCCGTGCGCCCCGCACCGCTCCCGCACCTAAAATGGAAGTTGGTCCGGCGGGGCGGGGGCGGGCCGGGCTCCGGGTACCGCCCCCGGCGTCGGCGCGCCGCGGCCAATGGCGGTAGCGCGGAGCGGCGCCCGGCGCGGTAATGGCGGCCGTGCGGGGGGGGGGCGGGACGGAGCGGCACGGAGGAAGCGGCTCGGGGTGGGGGTCCGCGGCACAGCCCCGTGAGCGCGCCGCCTGGGAAGGCTTCCGGAGGCCGATCCTCCCGGTAAAGCTTCCGGCTGCCGCGGGGTCGCGTTCCCCCGGCCTGAGCTCCCGTCCCGGCCGAGCCACGGCTGCGGGGACCCTGCTCCCGCTGTGCCGGGGAGCCGCCCGTCCTCGCTACGGGAGGAATCGCCGCTCACCTGCGAGAAGCCGGGATGGAGGCTGGGGGTTCTCTGCCTCGCCTCTGGTCCGGGACCGGCGGGACTGGGGCGCTGGGGAGGATCTGCCCGCTCCCGATTGCCGAACTGCTAAGCGAGATAATGACAAGAGGAAAAGGATTGCCGAATGGTTTGGGTGGGGACAGGTGATTTCAGGGGTAAATATGCACGGCGCGGTTGGGCAAGGAGAGGTGGGGGAGCCGATAGCCGTCTGCAGATGTTTGGGGAAGGTAATCCCCCGGCCGGGGGCGGGGTTTGCTCAGAGCGAAAAAGCATAATGAAGAGCAATGGGATTAAACGAGTGAGAGGGACGCGTTTAGTGAGATTACGGGGCGGCAGACCCCCAGACCCTCCCTGTCGCTGGATCAGTAAACAGATCATTCGGTTCGCTGGCTGCAAGGAGCGCAGCAGGCACGGGACAGCAGCTCCTGCCTCTGCACCGAGCGGGAGGCTCCTCTGCTCCGAGCGCAGACGCCTCTGCTCAGCCCGGGCGGGGCCCCTTAGCCCTGTGACTTAAGAACCGAGCCTTTGCCCTCTGGAGGAGCAGGGGAGCCAGGCAGCACGCTCGGCACTGGCCGGGTGGCTGCCATCGCACGGACGGCAGGTAGGTGGTCACCAGTACCACAGCCTGGGGCAGACTTCCGGCGTGCCTGATATGTTGCTGCATTCCAATCCCGTATTCCGATCAGCCCAGAGATTTTACAGCCTTTAAAGTCTTTAGTGAGTTTCTTCAAAGATGAAATGCGCTGCTGCGAACACGCCTATGCCAGCTCTGAATTGGAGCTGGAGTCGTGTCGCTTTGAAGCCGTGAGCGCCTCGTGTCCTGAGGGCTGCGGGGCTGAGCTGGGCAGGGTCTAAAAGCACGCTGTCAGCTCCAGCTCCTCATTCAGCAGTGCCCGGCAGCAGCCAGGACACCCAGTAATGTGTGCTCACTTCTGAAGGAAGATTGTACCCTGATCCCTGGGCTCGGGCTCACCCTGCAGCACACAGTGCTCTTGTTTAAATGTAAGTATTGTGGCGGGTGAGTCCGTCCTGCTGCTTCCTGGGAAGAAAGATGGGTTACTAACATGGCTAAATTTGCCCTTTTACAGTAATTGGGTGTAATAACATCTTATGCATCCCCTTTCATCCTACAGTGCTGTTGATGCCTTCTCCAGACAAAACGCCCAAACAAGGCAGCTACCACCGGAACAGAGCAAGACAACTTGTTTATCAGACAGAGGAATGCTCCTCAGCAGCACGGGGCAGGAGGAAGAGGGAGCTGCCGTCTGCAGGCCCAGCGTGGGCAGTTCAGAGATGGTCTGCATTGTTCTACATCAGGATAACAAGGCACTTCCGCAGCCCCTTTCCTGTGGGAATCCCAACAGGTTGTTGTCCTCCCCCTGCAGGAAGGGAAGCGTGGCACCAGGGGGCTGAAACATCCCATCTGTCAGATGTCTGCACTAAGCAGTATGTTCTTCTCTTCACCTTTGGTGCTTTTCCTAGTCTTGGGTGCCAGCCTTCACCTCTTCAGCTTTCCCTTCCATGGTAGATGCAAGCAACATGCAAGATACCTCCTAAGAATAGAGAAATGAGACAGCTCAACGCTGCAATTTAGTAACAGAAGTAAAAGGGGACGTTAGTGCAAAACAATTGCAGCTCTGATTAAGACCCAAGATAGGAATTTCCCTTCTCTGTAAGAAATCAGCTCAGAATCTGCTGATTGGGAGTCTCGAGAAAGGATATGACTAGCTCAGCCGCAGGGTCTCTCTTCCTATAAAATGTGGAGCAAACCAGGATAACCAACTTGCACTTAGACTGTGTCAGACAGGCTGACCTCGCCTTGCTTCTACAGTGAGACCTACAGGGAGATGAACCTTGCCAGACTGATTCACGGAGCCCTTCCAGGTCTGCGCACAGCTATCCACTGGGACAAGCACAGGAGAAGGCAAAGCAAGGGCCAGGCTGGGGCACAACACCGTGCTTTTTAGGACCCTGTTTCTGCAGGTCTCTATCCACAGAGAATGAGGTTTGAGAAGGAAGGAAGGTGCAGGTGCATGCTGGGACCTCATCCTAGTCTGGTTTTGGGCACAAATGGAGTGACTGCTGCCAGTGGTGAAGGTCACTTCTGCACAGATACAGCCCCAGCCAGCAATTTCTGAGCACCTAAAGGAGAGAACCACGCTCTCGCAGTTTGCTGGCAAGATGCAGCCAGCAAATTCTGGCAGTGAATGTGGATGCTGCTATAGAAAGAGAGGATCCTGTCAATGGGACAAAAGGGTGTTGGTGCTTTTTTCCAGTGCGGGTTATTTGGCTTTGAGTACGAGTAAGAATTGCACTAATAAAATGCCTCTTTTGTGTGCAGACTCTATCTACAGTGGAAGTGTTGCTGGTATCACCAGATCCAGTATCTATCACCAGTATCAGTAACTTTTCAAGGGCAGACGAGGCCATGGTAGGAGGAGGGGCGGGGGAGGCAGCACTAGGGGCTGCTGGGGCTGAGGAGAGGACTTCTGCATGACAGGGATCAGTGTTGCCCCTGCAAAACACCTCAAAGCAAATGGCCTGCCACCTGGGCCAGGTCCAGGGCTTTGTGTTGCTAGTTCTGTGGGTCTATCAGGACAGAGAATCCTTCTGACACACAGGGAACGAGTGCAACTAAAGAGGCCTGCATCAGCTTTTCCACCACCCAGACCACTCACGTACTCTCCTTTGTTTCCAGGAAATGTGATTTCCACTCTTTCCCAGAGCTGCTGCTGAGCTCCCTGTCTCAGCCACTGTCACAAGACACACAGCAGTCTGTAAGATCGCTGTGGTCTGAACGGGGGCTGCCTGTTCAAAACATTGGCTTCCCATCTCCCACAGCGGGCCCAAGAGGCAGAGGGCTGTTTGTGCCACGCTCTGTATGAAAAGCACTTTCTGTGGGCTGGAACAGATCACACGGTAAGAGTGGACTTTGCCCTTTAACGCTGTGCTTTCCTCCTCCCTGTCTTGCACCAGTAGTAGGACGCACAAGAGCTGTTTTGCACACTGTAACTAATGCCCGTGAATGCCCCTTTGTCCATCCTGCGTCACCTGCAGCCTGATCCTTGTCAGCTCATGAGCTCCCGCAGAGCCTTCAAAGCTGTCTGCCAGCCAGCAGAATGCCAGGATGCATTCTTACTTTTCACTTTGAGTGTGTCCAAGGACTGGGACAGATCCAGATCACTTGCCCTTTTATCACTCCTGCTCCTGGGATGGCCTCAGGAGAGGGAAGAGTGCTCCGCACTGAGTGACAGAAAGGGAAGAGCCCAGCTTTGCCTTGGCCACCGCCCAGATGAGCAAGCACCGCAGCACCACCAGCTTGTTCCTCCAGCAAAGGAGACAGGTGATATCAAGTCCTGCCTCTGAGTCAGCAAGAAGCATGCAGTGAAGATACAGCCTTCTCCTGTAACTGGGATTTTGCCTCACCTGCTGATCAGCTGCCTGGTCACAAGAGGAAGTGCTCTGATATCAGCGTCTTGGAATTTTTTAATTTAGCTTTGTCCTGGCTCCGTGGCTTTCCTTTGACTTCTGTGCCCCGGTCGGCTCAGCCAGCTGAAAAGCACTTTCCACAGCTGATGTCCTCCCACTTGCAGGCTCTCTCTGCTTACACCTTAGGCTTGCCTGCTGAGGAGTCTCTTTCTCACTGCCACAGCTCTAGCATGGTCCAGGCACAGTACAAAGCATCGCAGAGCAGCATGGAAGGCTAAGAGCATATTCTAAAACTCATATAGGCCTCTAAATCAACAACCGTATCCATCTGTCCCCAGTGAATTCAAGCTTTTCAAGTTACAGTTTCAATTACTATAATTTCAAAAGATTGCAGTGGGCAGAGGAGTACAGTTCTCTTTTTTCTATTTTTATGAGCATATGATAGCACTCTGATATGAAATTACGTGTTTTACTGTTTCCCTTGGTATGTACAGCTGGACACAAAGCCACCCGAGGTCAGTGGAAAGACTGCCACCAACCTCAGAGCCTGTGGCTTAGACCCATAATTACTTTCTTTTATGGTTTGTTCCAGTTCTGCACCCTTACATGTCGAAACACAGGAAAACCCATCTGTAAAGCCACAGGGGATGATACCACGTTTAACTAGTTGCAGAAAGCTTTGTAGGTTTAAAATCTACAGCATCATTTTGATTCTTGCTCTTCTGCAGCCCTTGAAACTTCCACCCACTTTGGTTGTTTGTGAGGACAGGCAGTATCTCCAGGCTATGGGCTAGGATCATTACAGCTCTTGGTAGCGTGTGTGTGTGTGTGTGTGTGTATGTGTGTGTGTGTGTGGAGTGATTGACGCAGATGTTTTTACAATGGATGCTTTATAAAACAGCAAAAAGCATTTCCAATTCTCTAAGCAGACAGCATCGTTTGCACGAAGGCCACTTTCCAAAACACCCATCCTCAATCCTCCCCTTTCAGCCCAGTGTTTATCTGTACGCCTGTCTCCCCCGGAGGCATCAGCAGGCCGTGCCAGTGCTGTTTCTCACACACACACCCAAAACAAGGCCAGGAGCCGATGGACTCAAGTGTCACCACGACAGTGGCAGCTTCTTTGCAGCCAGCACACATCCTGCTCGCTGACCTGTTGCTTGTGTACCCAAACCCCGCTCTTCCTGGGGAGGCAGGACGGGCTAACTCAGGTAACCAACACCAGTGTGGGAGCGGTACAAGGTGCCACATCGCAGTGGTAGCTTTAAGATGGCGCAGTCTGGGACGGGCACTTTCCCTGTGTCCAGTCTTCACACCTCGGAATCTCCAAACCCGTCCCTTCAGCCCCAGCTCGCTCGGAATACAGCCCACCACAGCCCAGCCCCCGCCATTTCCCCCACTCACCCTCAGCGGCCACCAGCACCTCCTGCGCGACCTTCCCGCCTAATTTCCCGCCGCGCTGCGATTGGTCAGGATTGGCCAATAGCGGAGATGTTGCTGGGCAGAACACGGAGGAGGGAAGCGTCAAGGCGGGAGGCGCGCATGTACGGCAGGACCGAATCGCATGAGTGAGCTGTCACCCTTACCGTCGCATGCGGGCGCGCTAGGCCAGGCCCAGCGGCTCCGCACGCGAAGCCTCGCGCCCCGTTCCCTCTCTCCGCGACGCCGGACCCCGGCGGCGACCTCCAGCACCCACAGGGGCAGGTAAGCGGCGCAGCGGTCGTCCCGACACCCCGGGCCCGGTTGGGAGAAGGCCCTGCGGCTTCGCCTCAGTCGGTGCGGCGGGCGCCCCCTGCCGGCCGAGAGCACGTGGGAGGTGCGGCGCCGTCACCGCCGCCGCAGGGATGCCGTCGGGCTGTTCGCCGGCCGCTCCCAGGCTGCAGTACCGCAGTTCCCGCTTGCTCCGCGCCGCCTTCCTGCGCCTGCACCAGCAGCAGCAGCGAGCGGACGTCTTCTGCGACGTGCTCCTGCGGGCCGAAGGTGAGCGAGCGGCTCCCTCTGTGGCTGCGAGAGCCGCCCCGAGGACTCCCTCGCCGTCCCCGAGGAAGGCCGGGCCGGCCGCAGCCACGCGTTCCTTGCAGGGGAGGTGGTGGCCGCGCATTGCTGCGTGCTGGCGGTGTGGAGCCCGTTCTTCATGGAGCGCCTGGCCCGCCAGCCGCCCCACGCGGGGCGCCGCGTGGTGCTGGAGCTCGGGGGGCTGAAGATCGCGACTCTGCGCAAAGTGGTACGCTTCCTGTACACGGCCGAGCTGGAGGCCTCCCGGGAGGAGGTGCGGGACGTGCTGGCGGCCGCCCGCCGGCTTCGCGTGGCCGTGCTCGAGTCGCTGCAGCTTCGGGAGGACGACCTGGTGCAGCCCGGGCGCCGCTGGCAGCTCGACCGCAGCTGTCTGCGCGGCCTCGGGTCCGGCGGCGTTCCCCTAGCGGACGCCCCCCGAGAACGGCCGCTCCCTCCAGACACCGTGGGTCCGGCCCGCCCCGTGGGGCGGCTGAAACTGAGGAGGATGGAAGGCCGACGCGGCTGGGAGGTGGTGCAGGATGGGCAGTTCTCTCTGGAGCCCCTCACCGTGGAGACCCGAACGGTAACAGAGCCGTGGCTGCCACAGGCTGCCGGTCGGCTGCCAGAAGACAACCTGGAGGAGGAGGTGGATGTGGGGACAGAGCAGCCGTGTTTGCCTCCCGGCACCGCGTGCGTCTACCCAAGCCCCTCATCCGAGTCAGATGGGGAGGTGGATGTCATTGGCTAGGGGAGCTGCTAACGCCTGCCTCCCCCAGACCAAAAGATCGCAGCATCCTGCGTCGGTTGTCGCTGAAATAAAGCACTAGAGCTGCATGACGGAGTCGCAGAGCTTTATTGGGGAAATAGCGCTGGTTAGCGTCTGCGGGCCGCCGGACTCCGGCGTTTCAGCGGAGGAGCTGCGGGGTCGGAGGCGATACTGGGGGCGGTGCCCCCCCTTGGTGCCGCCTCTTCATAGGCGCTCGCTCCGTGAAGCCGCTCCCGGCGTGCCGTTGTCCGTGCCGCTCGCGCTCTGTGCCCGCCGCCTCTAGGCCAGGCTGCTCCGCAGAGCCTCCACCACGGTCGCGGGCTCGGGAAACTTCAGCTTGCGGGGCGGCCCCTTCCCGATGCCGCTCCACAGCTGCACGGCTGCGGGTGGACGCGGGCACGGGTCAGGGCCGCCGGGATGCACCACCACCTCCTCCTCACGGCCCCGCCTACTCACTGCTGCCGTCTTCCTTCACCAGGGACACCTCGAAGCTGTTCCTGCGGGGCTGCCGCGGGTTGATCTCTACGGCCAGGGTGGCCACGGCCCCGCGCAGGGCCTCGCTCAACGCCGCCGCGTTGCGCCCGTACACGCGTCAGCTACGGCTGCGGGAGGCGGCAATCAGGGGGGCGCGCGAAGCCGCAGCCCCGGGGAGGGGGACTCACCTACCGGCGCTCACCTACCAGTGTTCGATGACGACGCGGGGGCCGCCGGCGTCCCCGGGGCTGCTCTCGGCCTTGCCGCGGGGCCGCTTCTCGGGGGGATCCGCCTGCGCCTCCGGCTCGGCCGGGCGCCGCTTGGCGCGTTTCCTGCCGCCCGGAGCCATTCCGCCTCCCGCTCCCGCCGCCACGTGCCGCTCTCCGCCGCCGCGCTGCGGGGTGCCGCAACGGTGCTGCGCGCGGGCTCCGTTCCCCGGCGCTTCCGCCGAGGGAGCCAATCAGCGCACAGGATGCTGGAGGCTGCCCCGCCCCCCGCCTGGTGGCCAACCCGCGGGCAGAGGCACGGAGCGGACACGGGGGCGCGCACAGAACGTTTATTGTCAGCCAAAGAACACGCGCGAAGCGCAGGCCCGGCTCCTGGCTCTACCCTTCCCAGGAACCGGCGGGGCCGAAGACTAGCATGGGCCCCGGCCAGAACGAGCAGAGGGAGCGGCGGCCCCCGAGCTCAGTGCTACGTGCAGGGCCTCCCGCCGGCACTGCCTGGTCCCCAGCCGCAGGGGCGGTGGAGTGGTGACAGGTGAGAATGTGGGCACTTCCTACTTCTCTTTCTTAGTCTCCCCATTGGCAAGGCCAGCTGCTGCTTGCCCCTCGGGTAGCTCCTCGGAGCCTTCATCCCGTGGCTTTGACTGCTTCTTGGCTTTCTGATAGAGCTCATTGAGGTTGAACTCCCGGATCACATTCTCCTGCAGCCAGAGCACAGCATTAGCAACAGCAATGACCTCCTGCTAGCCCCCATTTTCCATGGTGCCTGTGAGGAGATGCTGAGCACATCCTTATCCTCTGGATGTGGGCTGGAACATCCTTCTGCCCCTTACATACCTCAGAGAAGGTCCAGGAAACGGCCCGGCCCTTCTTGTCAATCTGTGGGCGACGCATGATCTCTGTCCCACCCTGGAAGAGGATGAGGGTGGGCAGCTGCTTGGTGAGGGGTGATGTGCTCACCTTGTACCTGCAGGAGTAAGGCAAGAGGCAGACAATGACACCAATGCATTTGGAAGGCCTGGTGCTACCCTACCATCTCGACCCCACAGACCTGGTGCTGACATCTGTGTATCGGCCGACATCCACCTTCCCAAAATGGAGCCCCGAGCAGTTGTACCTGGGAGGTAGAACACAACTCTGAGTGCCGTGAGTGACCACTGGGCTGGGGACGACTCACCAAGGCCTCGAACAGGCATCACTCACTTGAGAGAGAGGTCAGCAAAGATGGGGGCAAAGGACTGGCACTCACTGGACCAGTTGGCAAAGAACTCAACGATCCATGTCACCCGCTTGTCCCGTTCCAGCTCCTCCTGCCACAGGGCCGTGTGGATCAACAAGAGACGGTAGGCAGGGAACCCAGCACCCCATGCCAACCCACACTGGGCAGATGATACTCACGTCTATGGTCTTATCACTGAAGTACTTGATATACTCAGGTCCCATGTAAAGGGGCGGCTTGCAGGTCATCAGAAACACTGCAACAACAGCAGCCCTGAGTCCAGTACCCACTTAGAGAAAGGCTCTGCCCCCCTTTTCCCCACTTCTGAAACATTCGAAAGACCCAGGCTTACTCTGGGGGAGGCTCCTCCTTCCCCAGTACAGTCTTTATGACTACAAAGAGCACCAACAGCACAAGGCAAGATGGTTCCAGCCCCATCTCAGGCAGCTGATGCACAGGATGGGCCAAGACAAGGCCTGCCAGGAGCACTGCTGTATTGTGGATCCCCCCACATCCCCACAGGTCTCACCAATGCAGAGCGTGAGGTAGAGCAGGCCCATGCGGATGTCAAGACGGAAGAAGAGGATAGCATTGGCTACTTTGCTGAACATGAAGATGTTCCCAATGTGCTGCTCCACAGTGACTGGGAAGGAGGAAAGAAGTCAGAGATGGGGCTGTGTCTCCTTTTTCTCTCTCATCCCCTGCCCCCACCTGTTTCCTCTGTTCCTCCACAGTACAAAGCTTGCAGGTTCCCTCCACACCCCCTCAGCGCAGACCCCACTCACTGGAGCGCCTGTTCTTCATCATCACGATGGCGCTGAGGAACATGAGGATCTCCACCTCCCGCTGCACAGGAGAGAAATGCTGTGAGCAGAGTACCCTGAGAACCACGGCCAGCACCCCGGGGACAGCCGATCAGCCCCGCAGCACAGCCAAGGCCGGACTGCCCTCCCCTGTTCGGAGCGCTTTCTGCACAAGGACGAGCAGCCACACCGGGCCGCGCCGGCCTCCAGCCTCCGCCTCCCCTCCATAACCAAGCCGGAGCTGCACACAGAAGGGCCGCCGCTGCGCCACCCTGCGCCGGCGACGCCCGAGGAGCCCCGGGCACAGGACGGCCGGGCAGGGCGGTGCCAGGCGGCCGGCAGACCAGCGCCGTCGGCAGGACTGCTCACCCAGTCGAAGTCGCAGGGGTTGCCATCCTCCCGCTGCGAGGGCAGCCCGCGGCACAGCGGCGGGACCTTACGGACGAGCAGGAAGGCAGTAGCGAGCAACGCAGACAGAGGATAATAGGGCCGCGCCAGCCAGCGGCACAACCCCGGCACCGAGTAGAGCAGCGCCAGCAGCGGGGCCAGCACCGCCATCTTGTCCTCCGGCGACCGTCCGCCGCCTTCTCATTGGGCGGGCTGCCCGCACGTCTGCGCGGGGCGGGACACCCTCCCCGCAAGCCAATCGTGAGCGGCAGCGGCGAGAACTCTCAGCGCCGCGGACCAATGACGGGGAAAGAGAGAAGCGGCCAATCGAAAGGCTGAACCCGCGTCTCCCTTAGCAACGGGGGCGGTGCCCGGCCAATCGGCGCGCGGCGGGGGCGGGGCGGCCCCACGCGGGGCAGGCCGGGAAGATGGAGAACTTCTCGGCGCTGTTCGGCGGGGCCGAGCCGCCGCCCGCCACCGCAGCCGCAGCCCTGGGCTTCGGGCCCGCTAAAGCGGCGGGAGCAGGGGCCGCGCCGCCTCCCGCCGCCGCCGTTCCGCCGCCGGGCGAGGACGCGGCCCGCAAGGCCGCCTCCGGCCCCTTCTATCTGCTGCGGGAGCTGCCAGGTGCGGGCCGGGCCGCGGGAGGGGCGGGCCGCGGCGTGACGAGTGGCGCGCGGGGCCAATGAGAAGAGAGGGTGCGGGCGGGAGGCGCGGAATGACAGCTCGCGGGGCCAATGGGCGCGTGAGGCCGGGGCGCAGGGCGCTGAGGGGCCCGTCCGCCCGCAGGCAGCACGGAGCTGACGGGCAGCACCAACCTGATCACGCACTACAACCTGGAGCACGCCTACAACAAGTTCTGCGGCAAGAAGGTGAAGGAGAAGCTCAGTAACTTCCTCCCCGACTTGCCCGGCATGATCGACCTGCCCGGCTCCCACGACAACAGCAGCCTACGCTCCCTCATCGAGAAGCCGCCCATCTGCGGCAGCTCCTTCACGCCCCTTACCGGCACCATGCTGACCGGCTTCCGCCTGCACGCTGGCCCGGTGAGCGCCTGGGGAGGGCCGGGGGGGTTGGGGGTAAGGTGAGGACCCTCTGACCTCAGCCCCTGCAGCTGCCGGAGCAGTGCCGCCTGATGCACATCCAGCCACCCAAGAAGAAGAACAAGCACAAGCACAAGCAGAGCCGCACGCAGGACCCCGTCCCCCCAGGTAGGACTTTGCCCTGCAGGCCTTATGCTCTGCTAACTCTGCACCACACTCATCCCACCTCTGCTTCCTGTAGAAACCCCCTCGGACTCAGACCACAAGAAAAAGAAGAAGAAGAAAGAGGAGGATCCAGAGCGGAAAAGGAAGAAGAAGGAAAAAAAGAAAAAAAAGGTAGGTTGGGAGCTGGCGTGCTGCTCCACTCTGCCTGCCCCAGCCCTGTGCCAGGCTGTAGTTGGGCAGCTCCATGCATTTGGCTCCAGCAGTGCTTGGCACCACCGCAGTTTCACAAGGCCTCATGCCTGTCCTTCTTCTGCAGAACCGACACAGCCCCGAGCACCCAGGGGTGGGCAGCTCGCAGGCCAGCAGCAGCAGCAGCCTGCGGTGAGGCTGCACTGTGCTGCTCAATGGAGCTCCCAGCCCCAGCTGCCTGCTGTGGACTCATCCCTCTCACAGAGCACAGCGGGGAAGTGTGGGCAGTCGTGGCCCCCACTTGCAGAGAGCGTGGCCCTACAACCCCCCCGCCTGCACTGTGCGGCCGATGGGGACCTGGTGACACGGACAATGCTGGAATGGGGGTTCCTACCATTGGCCTCTTATACCTAAACAACGTGGTGCATTGGGATCTCTCTTTTTTATTCACCTTTTAATTAAAGTCTGCTCTGAGGAAGAGCTGGTGCCAGTGG